CACCAGATCCCTCGCCTCAACATCCACCTCGAACCCCACCCCGGCCCCGCCACCCCGTGCCCCTCCGGCTTCCACGTCCTCGTCCTCCCGCAACCCCTGCGACGCGCCGTTTTGCCGGCCACGCGGCCGCCCGCCAAACGCGCCGGGGGCCCAGACCACGAGGTGCGTGGTGCTCTTGGTGAAGTGGTCGCCAACGGTGGCCCCCAGCAGCATCGCCTGCGCGAGGACGCACGCGCCGTTTCTTTGTGGGGCACACAAGCCGCGCGGCGGAGGCCCCACCGGACGACGATGTCAAAATGATGCGCCGGGCCGCCGGGTGCACCCGGCTGGCGTTGGTTGGGCTGAGGGCCATGACGCGCCCGGCGGCTAGGCGCTTGGTCCGCGTCCCTCGAGCGCCGCAACACCGCCGGCGCTTGAAAGCCCTGAACCCCTGCGCCAAGCGCCTGCAGCAACGCTGTCCTCTCTAATGCCCACCCTCCTGCCATCCATCAGCCCACCCACCCACCTGCGTCTTCAGACCCTCGAGTTGCGCCTCCATGCCGCGCGCCAGGCACGCGTCCGCGCGCGCCACCAGCGCGCCGCAGCCCGCCAGCAGCGGCTCGCGCTCCCACCGCGTCTCCCACGGCCGCCGCCGCTCGCCTAGCCCGCCAACCCCTCCCGCGTCCCCGCCCGCAGCGCCGCCGCCAGCCTCGCCCGCCGCGCCGCCGCCCGCGCCGCCCGCCGCATTCATGCTGACGGGGCAGCGCACGAACACGATGTGGCAGCCGAGCAGCAGCGACGCGCGCGCGGCGGCGGCGTGGGTGGCGCCGCCCCTCGGGCCCATTTCCCTGAGCGCCCGCTCAATGCTGGGGACCATCAGGTCAAGCGCCACGTCATCGTCACCGCCTGGGGTGACGGTGATGAGGGGGTTGTGTGTGTGCGTGCGTGTGTGTTGATGTGTTTGTGTGTTGATGTGTTTGTGTGTGTGTGTGTGTGTGTGTGTAATGTGTGGCATAGCACAACATTGCATTCAACCATGTCCCTTCCCATGTCAGCGGCCAGCAACCGCGCCCTGACTGGCTCTCCACGTCAAGCGGAGCGCCGCGCAAAAGTCGAGCCAGGTGGCAGAGCTGCACCACGCTCGTTGGCCCTACTGACACCCGCCTTCCCTGCACGTCAAGGTACACAACCACAATCGCACTCTGACATGCGCGCACACACGCACATTTGCACATGCACGTGCACGCTTCCCACCACGCCCCACCTCGTCCATCGCCCGGCCCCGCCAGCGCTGCAGCGTCCGCCCCCTCCCTGGGGGCAAGCCCCAGCAAAACGTCCGCGTCCAGCGCCGCAGGCAATGACGACGCCGCGACCGCCAGTCCGACGGCCGCGCCGCCGCCGCCGCGCTGCCGCCGGCCCCGCAGCTTCGCGTGCTGCGGCCGGCCGCGTGGCGCGGGGCGGTGGCGGCGGGCCTTAACGAGGGAGCGATGGTGGCGGTGGCGCGCGCCCTGTCTTTTGAAAGGGTAGCCTCGAGGGCCCTCTTGGACATGAGGTGCTCCATGATCTGGGGGGCGAGGGTTCAGGGTTCAGGGTTTACGGGCAAGTCAAGGGGCCCCAGTTCAGGCAGAATCAGAATGGCGCGTGCGTGGGTACGTTTGAAGACATATTTTCTGGAAGGTGTGCACGTGAGGCACGCACCACGCGTTGTGCGCGTTCCCGGGCGGCCGCGCCCTGCGGCGGCCCCGTTTACGCGTACACGGAGGCCAGAAACAGGGCTCGGGCGGCCACAATGCCATGTGCGCACGCGCACCTGCCGCATGTCATCGGCGTCGACGTCGCGCGTGAGGGGGTCCCCATGCACCCCAATCTCGGCCGCCTGCGCCATGCGCGTTGCATGGCTCAGGAAGAAATAGTGGGCCGGCCTGCGGGCAAGCGGGGGCCGAGCGGCGGGCGGAGGGGCGCCGGGCGCGCGCTCCGGGTCGGATCAGGAGACGCGCCGGCCAGGAGGGCGCTGGGGCGGCGTACGCGCCGGGCGAAGGGCGCGGGTAGCCATGTCAGGTGAGGCCGGGCGGTACGAGGCAGGGGCGAGCGTTATGCATAGTGGGCAAAGTGGGGGGAGGTGATGGTGCGTGCACGTGCACGTGCGAGCGCTCACTTTATGGGTAGCAGCTGCCGCGCGGTTTCGCAGGCCTGCAGCCAGTCGATGCTGACGACGTCAAACACGAGGCGGCCCCGCTCCTCCGCCAGCGCGAGCGCGTCGGGCTTGTGGTCGCGGTGGGAGGCGACGTACAGGTCGCCCTGGCGGTTGGGGGCGGTCACGGGCGGTTATGGGCGATTGAGGGCAGCGATTGTGGGCGGCTGTTGTGGGCGGCGATTAAGGCAGAGGTGGAGGGCGCTGCGGTGTGCTTGTGGTGGCGAGGCCTCCAGTAGTGATAGTGGTTGGAAGGAGGCAGCAGTGCAGGTGAGGAGGTAGCAGCTGTCGAGAAAATCAAAGCCTTAGCCCGGCGCATAAAGTGCAAAAACACGGAGGACCACATCGCGCAGGCTGCCTGTGAATGTGCGGCCGGTATCTGTCCGCGAGGGCGGGGTCTCTGGCTCATGCGGTCATACGCAGCCAATGGCTGTGGCGTGATCTGGGCGCCCCGTCGCGGGCACGCCGCACGTCTCCGCGGCGGCCCTTTACTTTGGGACGCCCGCGGGCGACATCCAGTCACACGGCAACATTGCAGCGACATCACTAGCATCAACAGCTGCAGCGGCTGACGAACGCATCAGCGCCTCCTTTGCCCGCCCCTCGCAATCCCCCAACGCGTCCCCCCTTGCTGCGCCGAGCCGCGCGCGCCCTCCGCCCCTGCGGCAGCACCCCACCGGCTCCCTGGGCGCGGCGACGAGGCGGCCCCCCAGGCGCGCCACGAGCCGCGACGCCTCCTCTTTGGCGGCCGCGGCCTCAGAGGGCGGCGCGCCGCGGCGGCCGGCGTTGAGGACCGCAATGCGGCGGCCGTGCAGCAGGTCGTTCGCCACCGCCACGTCTGGGGGTTTGTATTTGCATTTGTGTGTGTATGTGTGTATGTGTGTGTGTTGGGGGGTAATACGGCATAGGCGTCGGGCGGCAGAGAGGGCAAGGGGCCGGTCAGCAGGCCGGCGGTCAAGGTGTGTTGGTGGGGGTGGCGTGGGGGGCGTGGTGGGGGCTGCGGGATCGGCTGAGACATGGGGCGGGCCGCGCCGCGGGCGCTGGTGCCTAGAGTTTGCGGATGTGAAGGAAGGGCCAGCGTGAGGCGCGGGGGCCCGTACGGGATGTTGTGCCAGCTGGCGGGGCAGATTATTAGGCTTGAGCCGCCATCCCCCCAGCCATGCGCGCGCGCGGGCCCTCGCACCCGACACGTCCGAGGGCATGAGGTGGCGCGGAACCAGCGAACGCGCCTTCTTGGCCCCCGCCTCCGCCTCCGCACCGCCGCCGCGCCGCGCGCCCCTGCGGGCGCCGTGGCCGTGGCCATGGCCGCCGCGGCCGCCGGCCTTTGCGTCCTGGTGGGAGCGCAGGCAGCCGCGCCACTCTGTGACAGTGCGCTCCAGGCGCTGCACGCTGTAGGCGCCAGCCGGGCTCAGGTCGTAGCTGCGCGGCAGCCGCGCGCGGCGCAAGGTGCGGGGAGGGGGGGGGCGGTGCGGCCACGGGGGTCGAGGCGCGCGTCAGCCGCTCTCGTGAAATTCACCAACTCCCTGGCTTTCCTGCCCCATCCTGTCAGGCTTCAGGTGAACCTCTTGGTACCATGCTACTACAAACACGATCTACAACGCAAATCGACGCTGGCGCAAGCCGGCGCCTGCACCCACGCCCACCGCCGTCGGGCTGCGGGGTGTGGAGCAACCTCCTGCACCAGGGACCGGAACCCCACAGCAGGCTCCCAACCCAAAAAAATACCATCAATCAGCCAAAAGCGTGTCTCTAGCCTCAGGTGCGGGGGCCTGCTAGCAGCCGCAGCCCCCGAGAGTGCGATGATGGCCCGCCCCGCCCCTCCCCGCCCCGCCGCGCCGCACCACACGGGGTGACCCGGCCCCTCACCGCGCGCGCACGATGCGCGGGAAGCGGAGGGAGTAGCCTGTGGCGTACATCTTGCTCTGGATGGCGCGCAGGTCGGCGCGCACCTCCACCACCGCGCTCCTCAGGGGGTCGGAGATCCTTTTAGGGGGTTGGCAGGGGTGAGAGGGGACGCACGCGGAGGGGGAGGGTGGAGGGTGGGAAGGCAGCGTGGGCGTTCGGAGGTTTCCGGGGAGAGGGGGACGAGCGGGGCAGGCAGGGCTGCGGCGCGGCACCGCGCGCGCGGCGCTGGCCGAGGGCCCGGCCGCGGGG